CTATCCTTGAACCTTTACCCAAGGATTTATACGGCTATCCTTGACCGTTACAACGTGAGAATTTAACGGATATTCTCGACCGTAAGAAGGTGTGTTTGAAGAACACAAAAGAGGATTCTACACAACGGCTAGAATATAAAAATGAAGAACAAAACTTAGCCGGTGTAGAAAGAAAGTATACTCTCTCAAAAATACAATTCAAACTTATGAATATGAGAGTATATAACTAGAAACACAAGCTCAAAGTGTGTGTATAAAAATTAGGAATTTAAGGCTCTTAAAATAGCCAAAAATATTGAAAATAATTAATAGAAGGATGAACACACTTGGAATAAAAAGAGAGGATGTTTAGAGCTTTGTTTCTTTTTGAAATATGAAGGATTAGGCTTGTATTTATAGTGGAAGATGTTAATTAGCCGTTGGGAGCTGATTAGGATTGATTAAATTCAAAATCACAAATCAGGAACAGTAATCCAACAGTCACGGTAGGGGGGTTCCGTCCATACGGTAAGGGGGTCCCGTCCATACGGTAGGGGGGTCCTGTCCATACGGTAGGGGGGTCCCGTGCTTACGGTAGCTAGGTATCTTCTCAGGCCAAAACTCTCTAGCGGTACCTATCTTAGTATGGTACCCCTTACGGTAGGGGGTCCCGTCCAGATGGTAGGGGGGTCCCGTGCAGACGGTAGGGGGGTCCCGTGCTACAGTCCTGCGTTTTTCAAAATATCCTTAAACCTTCGTGTTTGAGTTTAAAACATTTTAGATGTTTGAAAATGTTTATGGAATGGTTTTAAACATATTTTGTGAGTGCTTTTGAGCTTGTGAATATAGGTATATAAAGTCCTATCCTTACATTGGTTTCTACCTATATTCTACGCTAGTTTAGTGTTTTTCCTGAAACACTTAAACAAATGTTAAGCTCTTATATTGTTTGTTAACATCAAAACATGAGGCTTAGCAAACCAAGGCTAACACGGAGTATTAAATTTCTTAACTGTACTCTCAAGTTTTGTGACTTGTTCTTTTAAAGCTATGCAAGTGTCACAATTTTTCGTAGAGCTCTCGGGTTTGTCGACGCTTCTTTTACCATAAAACTTGTTTTCCTCTTTTAGTTTTTCGTTTTCCTTTTGAAGTTTTTCAAGGTCAGTTTCAAGATTAGAAAAACGTTTCTTTAAAGCTTTGTTTGTTTTAGAAGCGCTAACAAACTCGTCATAAAGCTCTTGGAGAGCTTCTTGCATTTCTTCAAGGAATAAGAAACGGTAGAAGAATTACATACCTCTTGGTTTTCGCCGTTGGCGGACTCCTCTTCTTCTTGAGCTATGAGACAAAGGTTTGCTTCTTCGTCTTCCTCTTGCTCGCTTGACTCATCGCCGGAGTCGCCACCCCAAGAGATATATGCCATTTGCCTTTTGAAGTGCCGAGCATTCCTTCCGCTTTTCGGGCATTTGTTCTTGATGTGCCCGGCTTCACCACATCTATAGCACACAGGGCCATCCTCAGCCTTCTCTTTCTTTATAAGTTTGCAAAACTTCTTCATGATGAGCTTGACTTCATCTTCATCGCTTGAGTCATTCATTGTCGGTTCTTTGGAGGCTTTTAATGCTATGCCTTTTCTCTGGTCATTTAAAGACGGATTAAGTATAGTAGATTCATATGTTTTAAGTTACCTCTTAAACTGTCGATGGTGACATTTGATGTGCCGATCGACTCATAGATGGCATCGGCCTTAGACCGCCATTCGGATGTCAAGCTTCGTAGGATCTTTCGCACAAGATCCCTGTCGGTGTAAGTCTTCTTTAATGCATGAAGATCGTTGACTATCTTAGAAAAGCGGTCGAACATGTCGTCGATCTTTTCGTGCTCCTTCATCCTAAACATCTCATACTCTTGGGTGAGGAAGTCGATCTTGGCTTCACGTACTTGGTCCGTTCCTTCGTACGTCACCTCGAGCTTATCCAACATCTCCTTGGCGGTTGAGCAGCCGGAGATCTTGCAGTAGTCATCGGGGTTGACTGCGCAGTAGAGCATGTTAACGGCTTTTGCGTAGTATTCTACTTTCTTGATGTCTTCGGCATCAAATTCGTCTTCGGTCTTGGGGATCAACTTATCTCCGACTTTCTTCATCGGCACCTCTTCCCCGTTTTTGATAACCAACCATAATTGGAAGTTCGTGGAACAAATATAGATTCTCATTCGTTCTTTCCAATATGTATAATTGGTTCCATCAAAAAGAGGTGGCCGTGTGGTTGATTGCCCTTCACCTATTCCTGCATACAAATTTCTAGAAGAAGAACCCATGATCGCTTTACTCTCAAACGGTTAAGTTTGGACGCGAGTTAGGCTCTGATACCAATTTTTAAAATAAAGGACCAACGCTAGAGGGGGGGTGAATAGCGTTTGAACGTAGAAATCGCAGGAATTAAAAAATTTAAAGGAGAAGAAAAGAGAAGGGTAAGAGGCACACCGAATTTACCCTGGTTCACCACAACTTGTGGCTAATCCAGCCTCCCGAGAGACTCTCTCGAGCTACACTACTTCCGTTAAGCTTACGGGTGCTTAACAAGCCGTTACAACCTGAGAACTCGAGTCCCACGAGCCTCAATACACTTGCTCGGAGATACCGCACTCCAAGACTTCAACCCGAAGGAGAATACCTTTCCTTCGTACGACCAAGGGAAACAAGCTTCCCTTAATGTGTATACAACACTAAACACTCAAGAACAAGACTCTCTTTAAGAGTAGATAATGAGTAAACTAAGTACGCTCAAGAACAACTCAAACTTCACACAAATTGGCTCTAGAAAGCTATGGAAAATGATGTTGTTTGAATGCAATGATAATATGAATAATGTGAAGTGAATTGATGAGAAAAGCA